TTAATATTAAAGCACAGATATAAGAATTAACATTGTCATATAGTTTGGTTGTGTCCCCAAGTCTCATCTTCAGTTGTAGTTCCCATAATCCCCATGTGTCATGGGAGGGACCTGGTGGGAGATAATTGAATCATGGGGTCGTTGCCCTCATGCTGTTCTCCTGATAATGACTGAATTCTCACGAGATCTGATGGCTCTATAAGGGGATTTTCCCCCTTTTGTTTGGCCCAGCTCCTTGCTGCTGCCATGTGAAGAAGGGCGTGTTTGCTCCCCCTTCTGCCATGATTGTAAGTTTCCTGAGGTCTCCCTAGCCAGCTGAACTGTGAATCAATTAACCCTCTCTACTTTATAATTTACCCTTTATAATTTATTTATAACAAAGACATACGGGTATGCCCTTATTAGCAGCATGAGATCATATTAATATAGTGAACTGGTATTGGTAGGGTAGGGTGCTGCTATAAGGATACCCAAAAATGTGGCAGTGACACTGGAACTGAATAACAGACAGAGGTTGAAACCGTTTGGAAGGCTCAGAAGAAGAGAGTAAAATGTGGCAAAGTTTGGAACTTCCTAGAGATTTGTTGAATAACTTTGACCAAAATGCTGATAATGATAAGGACAACGAAGTCCAGGCTGAGATGTTCTCAGATGGAGATGAGGAACTAGTTGGGAACTGGGGTGAAGGTCACTCTTGTTATGCAAAGAGACTGGTGACATTTTGCCCCTGCCCTACAGATCTGTGGAACTTTGAACTTGAAAGTGATGATTTACAGTATGTGGCAGAAGAAATCTCTAAATGGCAAAGCATTTAAGAGGAAGCGAACATAAAAGTTGGAAAATATGCAGCCAAAAGATGAGAAAATTTTTTTTTCTGGGAAAGAATTCCAGCCTGCTGCAGAAAGTGGCCTCAGGACATGGTGCCCTGTGTCCCAGCTGCTTAAGCCCCAGCATGGCTAAAAGGGGCCAAGATACAGCTCAGGCCATGGATTCAGAGGGTGCAAGCCCCAAGCCCTGGCAGCTTCCATGTGTTGTTGGGCCTGCGGGTGCACCAAAGTCAAGAATTGAGGTTGGGGAACCTCCACCTAGATTTCAGAGGATGTATGGAAACACCTGGATGTCCAGGCAGAGGTGTGCTGTAATGGTGGGGTCCTCATGGAGAACCTCTGCTAGGGCAGTGCAGAAGGGAAATGTGGGGTCCCCACTGGGGCACTACCTAGTGGAGCTGTGAAAAGAGAGCCACCATCCTGCAGATCCCAGTATGGTAGACCCGCTGACAGCTTGCACTGTGCTCCTGGAAAAGCTGCAGACACTCAATGCCAGCCTGTGAAAGCAGTGAGGAGGGGACTGTACCTTGTAAAGCCACAGGGGCAGAGCTGTCCAAGAACGTGGAAGCCCACCTCTTGCATCAGTGTAACCTAGATGTGAGACTTGAAGTCAAAGGAGATCATTTTGGAACTTTAAGGTTTAACAACTTCCCTATTAGATTTCACACTTTCATGGCTTCCTTTTGGCCAATTTCTCCCATTTGGAATGGCTGTATTTACCAATGCTGGTACCCACATTGTATCTAGGAAGTAACCACTTTGCTTTTGATTTTACAGGCTCATAGGCAGAAGGTACTTTGCCTTGTCCCAGATGGGACTTAGACTTTTGAGTTAATGCTGGAATGAGTTAAGACTCTGGGGGACTATTTGAAGGGCATGATTGTGTTTTGAAATGGGAGGACATGAGGTTTGGGAGGGGCCAGAGGCAGAATGATATGGTTTGGCTGTGTCCCCACCCAAATCTCATCTGGAATTGTAGTTCCCATAATCCCCACATGTTGTGGGAGGGACCCAGTGGGAGGTAATTTGATCATGGGAGCTGTTCTCATGACAGTGAGTATGTTCTCATGGTGTTCTCATGTCACTGTTATGAGAACATGCATTCTCATAATATCTGGTGGTTTCATAAGAGGCTTTTCCCCCTTTTGCTTGGCACGGCTTCTTGCTGTCACCATGTGAAGAAGGACGTGTTTACTTTATCTTCTACCATGATAGTAAGTTTCCTGAAGCCTCCTCAGCCATGCTGAACTGTGAGTCAATTAAACCCGTTTCTTTTATAAATTATCCAGTGTCAGGTATGTCTTTATTAGCAGCATGAGAACAGACTAATATACATTGTAAATCTATGTTTTAAAGGATCATTCAAAAGAAGAAAGCAGAGAAACTGACATCAACTTACTTTAACAATGAGGAGTTTAAGGTTGAAAAAAAATCAAGGGTTATTGTACAGGAAAGCTGAACAAAATCTAAATTATTTTGTCAAAAAGAGCAGGCCAAGAGTGATGACAAACTATAAATGTCACAATAACATTACCCAAAGCAAACAATGAATATAATTTCATAATGTCTATCTGTTTCTGCACTGACAAGATTTCACACAGAAAAAATGTGCCTAATGAAAAGACTCAATGCCTGGTTGGTTTGACATGGGCATTTAGACAAGATAAATGGCAATAAGAAGCATGTCAAAGACCTAAGAGAAAACAATTACCTAATCATAGGTGCAGAATAACAAAGCAACTGAACGACTCTGAAGATGTATTGCCTTGGACGAAGGAAAGTAATAAACAGGTAATAGTCATACATAAGATACTGTGAAAATGACAGGCTGACCATCAGGCTACAAATCCAAGCATGATAATGGCACTACAATACCCAGAAACAAGAAACAGAAGTCACCTAAGGATGCCCTCAGATATAATTGTGAAAATAGGTGAATAAAGTTGTCCAACAGAGAGATTTGCCTGTTTGTTGTAACACAGGTATTCTTTTGGACTTAACGGATGCATTTAATAAAAAGTATGAAAAGGCCATCTACCAAAGGAGGGGGGACACTTGAGGTGTGGTAGAAGCAAGACCTTAATTTCTGCAGGCCTGATTTTCCCCAACTGACTCATAAGGGACTGTACTAAGTAGTGATTACAGTTTCTTTCAGCTCTGGCCTTCTGAGTGTATAAAAACCAGAGACAGAGAGAGAGAGAGAGAGAGAGAGAGAGAGATAGAGAGAGAGACAGAGAGAGAGAGAGAGAGAGAGAGAGAGAGAGAGAGAGAGAGAGAGAGAGAGAGAGAGAGAGAGAGATGAAGACTGAGAGGGAAATAAACCAGTCAAGACCACTTGTTCCCGCATTGATTGGACGGCCTATGGTACAAGGGAAATGTGCTATTTAAATAAAATAAAGATTTAGTCAAAGCCAGTGGCAGGTTTACTGGTCAGGAAACTTCTATTAATTTCTGTTCCAATAATAGGCAACTGAATCGAGTCATCAAAGTTGAAAATTCAAAATGCAAGCATTATCATTGTTATTGTTGTAATTAAACAGCACAAATTCATTTGAGAGACCAAAAGACATTCATTTATTTTGATAGTTACCTCAACATATAACAGATAATTATGAGTTTTATTTATTCAATAGAAATTTAACCAAGGATCTATCATGTGTCTTAAACTGTTCTGGGGGCCGGCAACACAGAGGTAAAAGTGATTGAAGGCCTGCACCCAAGGATCTCACTGTCTAGGGAGGGCTACAGAAACATAAGTGGACAACATGATGAAATCGGGTAAGGGATGGGAAGGAGTAAGCAGCTCAAGGAGGACAGCTTCTTGGATGAGCAGACACCTGAACTAAATCTTGAATGACTGATGAGCATTACCTAGGTTAACTAGTGAATGCCTGCTTATCAACCAGAGGGATTGACACGAACAAGGCACAGAAGGAAATATATAGCCTGGTCTGCGTGAGGATCTACAAACGTTTTAGCATTGCTGGAACATAAATTTGAAGGAAAATAATGTAGGTGGAAACAACAGCAAAGGCAGATTGCGACAAGTTCCTAAGATGTTAAAGAATTTGAATGTTACTCTCTAAGGTTTATGTGAAAAGGTTGTGAGATTTTAGATTGAGATGGAATACCAGAGTCAGTTTAACTCAATAAGGGTAAATAATATTTCATGAAACTTCTGTTTCTATTGGAGTCAGGGTAGGGGTGTGTGTGTGTGTGTCTGTGTGTGTGTGTGTGTGTGTGTGTGTGTGTGTACTGCATTTCTTACTGTGAGTTAGAGTCTAAAACTTTCTACATTGCCCTGCATAATGAGTCTTACCAACCCTAGGAAATTAATTGGCCGATTCTTTGCTTCATCAAGCTTGGCTTTCCTTTACATTAGATTTTTCAAGGTGCTAGCATCGATTCAGCTCATCTCTACTCCTTGTCTCTTTACTTAATCTGCAAATTTGGGCAAACTATGTAGGATTTGTTCTAGTAACATTTTACCTAAGTAAAGACTGTAGTGTGTTATTAAAGACTTTCTGGCCAGGCACAGTGGCTCACACCTGTAATTCCAGCACTTTGGGAGGCTGAGACAGGCAGATCACCTGAGGTCAAGGAGTTCAAGACTAACCTTGCCAACATGGTGAAACCCCATCTCTACTAAAATAAAAAAATTAGCCAGATGTGGTGGCACACACCTGTAATCCCAGCTACTGGAGAGGCTGAGGCAGGCGAATCACTTGAACCTGAGAGTTGGAGGCTGCAGTGAGCCAGGATTGCACTCCACCCTGGGACAGAGCAAGACTCGGTCTCAAAGCGAACAAACAGACAAAAAAAGACTTTATTGTTCTCTCCTCCTTATGTCCTCTTACTCCTTCGTCTTCAATCCCCTTCTTTCATGCCCCTCCACAACCCTTTTCCACCAGCCTCTGTTATTTTCTCTGGTACCTGATTGGAAACTCTTCATTTACGTTTTTTGGCAGCCTGGACCAATAGTGCAGTTGTTGATGCTATAGCACTTCATGACATGTGCCTTTCCAACACCTCTCTCATGCTGAGACTTAGCTCTTTTTCAGTAGATCACAAAGCAGGAGTTCTACCTCGCTAAAAGACATCCCTCCCCCTGCCTTCACATCTTCTCTCCAAATCAAACTCACTGCAGCTTTTCTGCTACTGTTGCTTTGCTAGCTCTTTACCTTTGGATGGAGGGAAGATATTCGACCTGGTGAGCCACTGCATACCCGGAAATTCTGCTTCGATGCCATCTCACACAACAGCCCAGTCACACTCTATGACTGTCATGGCATGAAGGGGAACCAGCTCTGGGGATACCGGAAGGTAAGAGGCAGTCACTGTGGTCATTCTCACATTGCTGTGGTTTAAGTTATTCTTCCTCAACGTTTTCTTTGAAAACACACTGTTTTAGGCCCAGCACAGTGGCTCACGCCTGTAATCCTAGCACTCTGGGAGGCCGAGGTGGACAGATCACCTGAGATTGGAGTTCGAGACCAGCCTGACCAACATGGCGAAACCCTGTCTCTACTAATAATATAAAAATTAGCCAGGCATGGTGGTGGGTGCCTGTAATCGCAGCTACTTGGAGAGGCTGAGACAGAAGAATTTGAGCATGAGAGGCGGAAATTGCAGTGAGCTGAGATCGCACCACTGCACTCCAGCCTGGGCGACAGAGCAAGACTCTGTCTCAAAAAAGGAAAAAAGAAAAAAAGAAAGAAAAGACAAGACACTGTTTTGATTAAAAGTTTCACTGAGTCATACATACACACATTTGGCTCACGCATCCAGAGATCACTAGCAAAGGTGAAGGGAAAAATTGAGTGCATAGAAAGGGGCAAGCTTTTGGCCTCACATATTATATGTATGCACACCACAGTCAGTTATGACTGAAAAATGGCTTTGAGCCAAAACAAGGAATAGGTCTAGGTTTTTTTGTTTTTTTTGTTTTTTTGTTTGTTTGTTTGTTTGTTTTGAGATGGAGTTTCGCTGTTGTTACCCAGACTGGAGTGCAATGGCACGATCTCAGCTCATCGCAATCTCCGCCTTCTGGGTTCAGGCAATTCTCCTGCCTCAGCCTCCCGAGTTGCTGGGACTACAGGCACGCACCACCATGCCCAGCTAATTTTCGTATTTTTAGTAGAGATGGGGTTTCATCTTGTTGACCAGGATGGTCTCGATCTCTTGACCTTGTGATCCACCCGCCTCGGCCTCCCAAAGTGCTCGGATTATAGGCGTGAGCCACCGCACCCAGCCCGGGTCTAGTTTTAACTCAGAACACTCTCAAAAGGAAGAACCACATATCCAATAAGCAAAAACACGTATGCATAATTTTTAACAACACCCATCCACAACACACATACACACAGATTACAGCATCCATTCATTTATTACGTATCTCAGGCTCACTGGCTTGGGACCTGTCTGGATTAAGACAATGATGTTTACACAAATATTTATAATCTATGTAGATATAATTGCTGCAATCTTTATACACAAAGTGACCCATTTACGTTTTCACCAAAATCCTGCCCAAATGTAGCAAAGAAGAATTTATTTGAGGAATTTAGAAGTTTCAGAAATTATTAATGAATAATAGGAAAAACTCAAAAACATATATTAAGTCACATTTTATTGAATTAATAAAGAGCAATTAGGTTATTGTTTGAAAATATTTTCACTGTTTCTTTTTGACAACTTTTTAGAATACTATACAAAATTGCGTTTCAACTTCTTTGCTTTTGGGGATAGGACTGGCCATCAATTAGCAATTACTCCATAAGCTCCACTCTGCCCCCTTAATTCCATGGAACTGCTGGGGCCTGCTCACACAGGGAGAAGATGCCTTCTGTTTGCTTTGTCACACTCTGAGGCTAGCCTTGCCTCAGGCTATGAGGAAAATGGAATGTCCCCCACTTTATTCATGAACTTGGCCATCCCTTGACTTAGGCAAGGGAAGAAGTGGTGGAAAGTCAGTGCGGGGAGAGGGGACTGGTTATGTCACTTGTTCCCCTCACTTAATAAGCATTCTGTTTTCTACCTCTTAGAGATGAGCTCCTAAAACTATATTCACCCAAAGACAGACTTGTTTGTATACGTTTACTCTGCATGCCACCCCCACCCAAACACCTGGCAGGATGTGGCTGTGTCCAGAAAAATTACGAAACATTGGTTAGGCCAGGCATGATGGTTGAAACCTGTCATCCCAGTACTTTGGGAGACCAGGGCAGGAGTTTAAGACAAGCCTGGCCAACATGGCGAAACCCCGTAAAAAAATACAAAATTAGCTGGGCATGTTGGTGCATACCTGTTGTCCCAGCTTCTTGGGACATTGAGGCAGGAGAATTGCCTGTTCCTAGGAGGCAGAAGTCACAGTGAGCCGAGACAAGATCTCACCATTGCACTGTACCGCACACCAGCCTGGGCGACAAGAGCGAAACTCCGACTCAAAAAAAAAAAAAGCCAAAGAAAAACCCACCACACATCAGTTGTTATATCCTACTACAAAACAATCTAGAATCAAAGGAGCGGGGAAGAAGACAGTATCAGATAAAATGAGGCTGGGAGAGTAGCACTGCAGTAGGAAAACCTGACCCTTTTCTTTATGAAATGTATAATAAATGATTCATTTTATCAAACTAGTTTGCTATTCAGCTTGATACAGTCTGTGTGTGGTGCAATAAAGTCAGGGTTTTTTTAAATGGTTACATTCTGACATGTAAGGAGTTACTTTCTGCGCACATCAATAAAATAGCTGATTTACCATTTGCTTAGTGTGCTGGTGGTCCCTAATGAACAGAACATGCCTCATTACTGTACATTTACAGCATGACACACCAAGCACTCAATAATATGCAATTAAGCCAAGAAAATGCAGTTGTTTTTATTAGGGAGCTTACAAAAGCTTACAGATGGATAAGACCAACTAATACACAGAGCTCCTGGGGAGAAAAAACACCAGGCTGCAGCGGTTTCAAGGGGAAACTCTTATGAGCTTTAATACTAAACCTTTCTAGGATCCTAAGGGATTTGTGAAAGGAAACCACTAGATGCGATCGTGCTGTGGCTCTCTTCTCAGCTCTTTTTGTAGCTGTTGGTCTTGCATTACTTAGCAAAAGGTTACACTCCATGTGTATTTATACAGCAAGCAAGGTGTTCATACTTAATCAGGAGCATGAAAAGCCTCAAAATGGAAAGTTTCTGAAATATCGCATCTCAATGGATGACTCAGGCCTATTCAAACACACCTGTTTTAGAAAATTCCTCTTGTTTTTTCCAAGGGCTATGCCTAACCATAAAGAGAAAAAGCACCAAGAGAAATCTGTCTGGGGTGCTACCTTGTCCATTTGGATGCAGTACTTGGCTCTGGGGGCTTCTGACAGTTTTAGGGGGGTTGTTTGTTTGTTAAGGCAGAGTTTTGCTCTTGTCACCCAGGCTGAGTGCAATGGTGTGATCTTGACTCATTGCAACCTCTACCTCCCAGGTTCAGGCAATTCTCCTGCCTCAGCCTCCTGAGTAGCTGCAATTACCATGCATGCACCACCATGCCCAGCTAATTTCGTATTTTTAGTAGAGATGGGGTTTTAACATATTGACCAGGCTGGTCTTGAACTCCTGACCTCAGAGGATCCACCCGCCTCAGCCACCCGAAGTGCTGGGATTACAGGCATGAGCCACCTCACCCACCCTGGAACTCCCACTTTTTATAATCATATTCATGAGATCAATCAGAGCCCTCTACTAATTGCCTAAAGGGCTACATGAGCCATCTCCTAAGCTCCCAAAGTCTTCATCATCATCATCATCTCCAACTGTTAAAAAGGCATCAAGCTGGTGGTGCTTTACACACATTATCTCAAACCTCATAACCACTTAGGTTCTACTGTGTATAATTTACACAGGAAGAAACTGATACTAGCAGATATGTGGATTCAAACACAGGTAAATCTGGCTTTAAAGCCTCGGCCATGCTTTTAAGGAATAATATCAGTATTCCCCAGGAGAGTTCCCCAATGCTGGTTGGATTCAGTGTCACTGATGCCAGCCAATTCCTCCCTCCTAGCTACATGGAGACATCTTGGAGAGAGAAGGTGGCCAGAGCCACCTTGCTTGAGTGGATGAAGGTTGTTTTCGGGCCTTGCTTCCTGGTTTCAGCAACTCTCACTCAGCTTCTAGTTATTTTTAGATGTGGCTCTTTGCCACCACAAAAGGAGAAGAGCATCCTTATTCTATGATGCTGGGACTATGTTCAGTTGCATAGCTGTTTCCTACAATAACAGGTACCCAGGACGAGAAATCCTGTTCCTGGTTTTCTTTTACCACCAGGGGGACCCCTGTTATAAGAACAGTGAATCGTTGAAGCAACCTCACTAAAAATACTTGTCCTCACCCAGCAGCCGAAACAAGAAACTGTGTTTCCTCTTCTTCAATCCCCATTGGTCATTAAGACGTGTCACCCACTCCTCTCAGCCAATACCTCTGAAATCCACCCCCTCTTTGCCATTTCTATAGCCAGCCCCTGCCTGGTTCAGTCTTCACATCTTAGCCCTGGGTTATTGCAATGACTACCCTGCCTCCTGCCCTTCCCCTTCCTCATCTTCCATCCTGAAGCCAGAAGGCGATTTCACGTATTCCTCTGTTTTACGACTTAATTGGTTTACTCACGGAGTAGGAGATAGAGTGCAGTTAACTCCTCAATTCTCATCTGGATCCTTCACAACCTGGCCAACCTAACAGCTGACCATCAGGCCTTAGAGTTATTCAGGTTTAATACACCCCAATTCATCCTGAAATTGTAAGGGGATCTGGAACAGTTGTTTTGCTTCTGTGACTTTCAACTGCTTCACCAGTATAATAATGATAATAACTGAATGAGATAAACTATGTAAAACTTCTAGCACAGTTTCTGATCATATCATAACATTTCCATCTGTGTTGGTGACAATGCACTGTTACATTGATCATCATGGCAAGGTATGTCCTAATATACCACATCATTAAAGCAATCTCTCCTAAGCAATATTGACAGTTGTTATTCTTCCAAAATTGAGAGCTATCTCCCATGTCCTTTTCATTTTAAGTAAACTTTTTATTAGATTATAGCATATGTCTTAATTTGGGTTTCCCCACATATGTAACCTAAAGTAAGAATTTGAATGCACATGGTTTATTTGGAATATAGACCCAGAATATCTTGATAGGGAGTGAGGAAGTGAAATGGGGAGAGATCAGAGCCAATAAAGGGTGCATTATCAAGCAAGTACCACTGCAGGCAAATAGAGCTCAATCCTACTGAAGATCTCTGGAAATGTATATAGAACACACAT